AACCTAAACCCAAACCATCCTCAAGAGAAAGCTGATGCTGCAGGGGGAGCTGCTGCTGCAGCGGCAGCTGCTGCCCTGGGCTTAGTTCTGTCTCCTGCTGCTGCTGCTGCTGCTGCTGTTGCTGCTGTTGCTGCGCCTGCTGCTGCTGCAGCAGTGTGTGAGCATCCTCCCCGTCTGAGAAACTGTCGTCACGAGCAGCAGATAAAGGACCCTTCACTGCTGCTGCTGCTCCACCCTGCAGCTGCTGCACCGCCACCCGCAGCACACACTGCTCTTCTAGTGCTGCGTTTTTCTCTTGTTGCAGGTTTGTGTTGTTTCCTTTGAATAGCACGAACTGTGCATACAGCCGGCTCAATGCCTCCTCAACTTTATCTAATACATAACCCTGGCCGTTCTCTAAGAAACTCTTCTCGCCCTCAGGAGCAACAACAACAAGAGGTCCTTCATGTGCTGCTGCTGCTGCTGCTGCTGCTGTTGCTGCACCAGATGCTGCTGCTGCTCTCCCTGCGCCGGGGCTAGCCTCTAGACAGCGTATCTCCTCTTGTAAGAAACGAATGATTCTCTCCATTTCTTCTATTCTCTGAATATAATTATTATAAGGACGAACCAAAGCNGTAAGAAACGAATGATTCTCTCCATTTCTTCTATTCTCTGAATATAATTATTATAAGGACGAACCAAAGCGTTCGCTTGCATATCTACAAACTGAACTGCACCCAGGCGCCCTATACGCTCTAGGATTTCGTGAGCTACAGGCAGAGAAGACGGCAGCACCATGGTGCCCCGCACCATCGGCTCACTGCGAAACGTTGACATCTTCACCTACAGTTTCAGGTGTATGCAAGCGCTTCAAATGTAATATAAATACAAATTTTTCTACATACAACACACATACAATACACTGCTGCTGCCTCGTCAATACCCTCTCCTCAAACAAATACTCCCTGCTAGCCACACGTATGCCTCCTCCTGATGCTCGCTGCTACTCCTGCTGCAGCAAAAGCAGCAGCAGCAGCAACCAGGAAGCGGGGAGGAGGGTGTAGGGGCCCACCGCGCCGCTGCTGCTGCTGCTGCAGCCGCTGCAGCTGGAGTCCTTTAGCTCGCCTGAATAGCGTGAAGGCGATGAGAAGAGAAGGAGCGG